GAACGCCTTCTCATGATCATTTCCAATCGTTGTTATTTTCATCTTTTTTTAGCTTCACTGTATGTATTTGATCTATTTGCCTCAATTCAATTGGTCTAATTTGTTTTTAAAATGTTTTGTATTGTGAATATTATTGGTTGGCCTTTTATATTTTATTACTAAATAAACAGATATTCACATAAATTGCATATATTCTCTAGATCTTTTCTTAAAAATGAAAGCATGTTAACAAAAAAATTAGGTTATTAGTTAGCTTATCATGCACATACAGTGACCAACCAATCACATTCTTCCTTTGCAAGCTTATCTGACAAATCACATTCATTCACATTCAAAATACAGTAAAGCATTCTACACTTCTGTTGGAGGTAAGATGGCAGTGTTGAGGCTTTCAACAGAGACATTATGAAACAATGAAGGTATAGTGCCTTGCAAATTTAAAAAGACCCATAATCAACTCTATCATTTTATCTTGAGAATTTTTTTATCATTATTTAAAAATGCAGAAACATAGTTTATAGAGTAAATATAACACTGTTTCATATTCAGCACTATTCATAACAAAAAATAAAATGGAAATGTTATTTCTCAATGTTAATTTCGTTATTGTTATATAGATAGATATATAGATAAAAAGAAAGCAATGATTAAAATAATAAAGAATCGTATATAAGACTGTATAATCATATTCTAAAAATATATCTATGGGACACTGTGAAATCTGATTACAGATTAAACAAGCCAGTATCCAATTCAGATAAATATGTTATTTTATTGTCTTCTAACAAAGTTTATAATTGCTTTGACCTTTGACCATCATGAATTTAATGGGTTAAACATATCTGCCAAGAAACAGGGCAAAAAATTAACAAGGCATCAACATGCCATGCAGTTGAATACTGTTTGGCTGCATCCAAAACCACATACTTCCATACTATATAGTAGGTGGAAAACAGTAGTATGCCCAAATTCACAGTTTATCACATTTTTAAAACAGTAGGTGAAATATACCCGGATTACTTACAATTTATGTCAAGATTCTGAAATGCACATCAGATGGACACTTTCCCATGAGGCCACGGGAGTGGACTTGTGAAGTAATGCAACTGACGCTGGTAGGTCATATGATAATGACAACGTGGTGAACGTAGTACATCTGGATTATATTCATACTGTACTACACACATTCATACTACAGTACATAGAACATACTTGTTAGCGGTCACAGAGTAATTACTTAATTAAATGGTTTAATTTAAATTATTAACTGGCATGCACTGCTTCAAGTCAGACACTGATAGGTCTGCGCAGTGCCACATGAAGTCAAAAGATGTGTTTAGGAATGTTAGAAATGCTGTCTGATTTGAGACAGCGCTGATGTTTATTAAAGTACACAAACACAAGAGTGTCACTACGAGAAGCAGAAAGTGTCCAACTTCATGTCTCGGTTTTCAAATCCTCTCCGACTGCAATAGCAAATCTCACTGAGCATTTAAATCCAGTCACACCCTACGTTAAATGCACAATACATATGTCAGGGCAAACAGAGGACCCAAGAGCAGAGGTTAGTTAAGACTTTCTATTTATTTACTGAAGAGAACTAAGGCACTCTGCCATGCACCGGCACTCTTGGTGGACGCAGAACTGATAGAAAGCAAAACTCAAACTTGACAGGAGAGGTGAGGAGTGCGGGACCTGTGGAAGACAGCGGGCATGCAGAGAGAGAGCACAATCAGGAGTAGCTGGTCCGTGTCTTGGTAGCGGCCACGCAGAGGGAGAGCATAATCCCCAACTAGCACACTCAACACCACAGGCAGCGAATGGGCGAGCGATCTAAGGCAGCAGAAAAATTTGGCATAGAACAGATAAGATGTATACGACAGGATGACAGGACTAAGACTCGACTTGACTTGAACTATACAGAGAATGTAGACCATAGGAATGAACATTAGGGTGCTAACAATTATCTGGCAAAGAAGCTAAAAGAACAGCAGAGTAAAATAGCAGAGAGAATCAAGGTAAAGAGAGAACAGGTACAGAGTCAATCAGCGTGAGCACTGATCGCAATAGAGAACAGCTGGGTCTAAGTAGCAGTAATGAGGGGAGAAAGAGAAACAAGGGGAAAGACCAAACCCAGCTCATGACAGTACCCCTCCCCCGACGAGCACCCCCAGGCGCTCCTGAGGTAGAGGACCAGTGAGAGCGAAGGAAGTCTGCGATGCGCGAGCAGTCCAGAATGCCCCGAGCCAGAATCCAGCTCCTCTCCTCCGGGCTGTACCCCTCTCAGTCATCCAAATACTGGTAACCACACCCCCAGGGATGAACATCCAGCAGTCTCCTAACCCTATAGACAGGAGAGCCTTCGACAAGAGCGGAAGAAGGGATGGGATGGGTGGGGGACTTAATGATGAATGAGGAATACAGGATGGGTGCATTTCAGATAGCTAGGTAATCTGAGTTGTACCGCCACAGGACTAAGAACTTTGACAATTGAAAAGGGCCCAATAAAACGGCGTGCTATTTTATGGGAAGTAGATTAGAGCAGCAAGTTACGATTGGACAGCCACACCCTCTAACCGCAAACGTATCTTGGGGCCTTGGTGTGCCATCAATTTGCGTCACGTCGTGTGTGTTCTCTGTTGTGGCACAGCACGGTTCTCACCCTTCTCCAGGTGTGACGGCACCATTGAATAAATGCCTGCACTCAGGGAACAGAACTCTCAGACTCGTGAGTAGAGAACAGAGGCTGGTGGGAGAGGGCGTCAGGTTTCATATTCTTAGAACCGGTTCTGTAAGAGATAGTAAAGCTGAAACGGTCAAAAAAGGGACCAACGAGCCTGCTGGACATTTAATCTCTTGGCTGAATGAATATACTCAAGATTTTTATGATCTGTCCAGACTACGAATGGAACGGTAGCCCCCTCTAGCCACTGACGCTACTTTCCCAGAGCTATCCGGATGGCCAGAAGCTCACGCTTCCCTATATCATAATTACGCTTGGACAGCGAAAGCCGGTGGGAATAGAACACACATAGGTGGACCTTCCTGCAAGATAACCACCCCCACACCCACAACAGACGCATCCACCTTCAAACTTAATTATTCCTTGGGGTCGAGAGTAATCAGGATAGGCACAGCAGTAAATATCCCTTTGAGGCGATCAAAGACGATCTGGGTTTCTGACCAAAAATCAGGGACGATCTGGGTTTCTTGGATCTCTGACCAAATGAAGCGCGACTTGGTCAAGGTGAGAGTGGTCAGAGGGGCAGCTACTTAACTGGAATTTCGGATGAAACGTCAATAAAAAATTAGCAAATGCCAGAAATCGTTGGAGTGCAGTGCGAGACTCAGGAACAGGCCAATTTGAGCAGGGTCCATACTGATCCCATCCGCCGATACGACTGACCCCAAAACTGTGACTGACCTAGCATGAAATGAGCATTTCTCACAAAAAGACAGTTCTCCAAGAGATGCTGTAACACAATGTGAACGTGTAGGACATGTACCTGGAGAGATGGAGAGAAAATAAGGATGTCGTCCAGGTACACGAAAACGAAAATATTGAGCATGTCTCTCAAGATGCCATTAACTAGAGGCTGGAAAACCGCAGGTGCATTAACAAGCCTGATTGGAATTTCTCTAATATTTCTCGAGTGCTTTGCACTCCGGCGCAGACAGGGAATACAATCTCCCGTGAGGTGGGGCGGTACCAGAGAGAAGATCAATGCTACAGTCATAAGGTCGATGAGGAGGGAGAGAAGCAGCACGGGAATGACTAAACACCGCTCGCAGATCGTGATACTCCTGCGGCACTCCTGACAAATCACCAGGGTTTCTCCTGAAAATGAAGCAGAAGAAAAGCCAGCCCAGCGGAGAACAGCTGCGAAAGTGGTGCGAGTCTTAGGAGATGGGGAGAGGGCAGAAGCACTCGCAAGTACCCCCCGAGCAAGTACTGGCGAGCCTTGGCTTTTAGCAGACATGTAGTGACAAAATGGACTGAGGCACCGCAGTATAAATAAAGTCTATTGTGGATGCTGTGCTGTTATTCAACAGCAGTGATTCGAATCCCAGTTGCATGGGCTCAGGTTACTCAGTTTAGACAGTGACTGTGGGCTGGAGAGTACGCAGTTCAGTGACCATGCCCGAGCTTGGCGGCGCAGTTCAAAACGCTTGTCAAGTCGAATTGCTAACTCCACCAGCTAATCCAGGAGAAGGGGGCTCGCAAGCATAGATCTCATCCTTAAGATCTATATTCAGCCCCTCCAAGAAGCGTGACACCAAGGCCGGATCATTCCACTCACATGTGGCCGCCAGCATGAACGGAACTCTGGTGTAGTCCGCAACGGAGCATCTCCCCGAGTGCAGCACCGCGAGCAGACAGGAAGCCTCACACCTGTAGACAGACAGGGTGAACTGCTCACAGCACACGGCCTCCGATTCCCAGATGGCCGCTCCCCAATTGTGTGCTCACCCCGACAACAGAGAAATAATGAAGGCGATCTTGACGTAATCCTCATCGTATATGGACGGCTGAAGGGGAAACACAATCTCACAATGGGTTAAGACCATTCAGTGGGCTCACCCACGTAACAAAGGGATTGTTGACCTTGGGTTCAATGGAACTTTGTGATGCTGGTGGGCTAGACTGGTGATGAAAGCGAGTGGTCAAATCCATCACCTGGGCAGCTAGACTCTCCACAGCATGCTTGGCTGCTGACAATTCCTCTTTGTGTCTGCCCTGCATCGGACCCAAGAGCAGAGGTTAGTTCAGACTCTCTCTTTATTTACTGAAGAGAACTAAGGTAGTCTGCCGTGCACCAGCACCCTTGGTGGACACAGAACTGACAGAAAGCAAAACTCAAACTTGACAGGAGAGGTTAGGAGTGCGGGACCTGGGGAGGACAGCGTGCACGCAGAGCACAGAGCACAATCAGGAGTTGTCCGGGGCTTGGCAGCGGGCACGCAGAGAGAGAGAGCACAGTCAGAATTACGGGTCCGAGGATTGGTAATGGCCACACAGAGAGAGAGCACAATCCCCAACCGGCAGACTCAACACTGCAGACAGCGAATGGGCGAGCGATCTTAGGCAGCAGGAAAACTGGGAAGGGAATCGTTAAGACGTATACGACAATACAAGACAGGACTAAAGGCCAGGACTAAAACGTCCGTCTTTAAAAAATTTGGATCGGGTTCGATTTTCTGCATTTTTCGCATCCGTAGAGTACACATAAATTGGTGGTCTTTTTTATAATATGTGGCTCTAGCATCGCTAGTAAAGCATCAAACTGAGCCATTGATATCCTGATGTAAACTTTGAATCACCCGTGATAATCCCTCTGCTCCTTAATAAGGAGGGGGAACTCTCCTTCCTCTCTATATCTCAGGATTGGAATGGACCCAATATTTCCTTTCTTTTTCTCCTTTTAAGAGCCGAGAGGACAACAAAATCATCCTCACTGCTTGGAGACTCCATTTAGTACAGTTTTGCAAATATTTTCGCAACAGATTAATTAATATGCATCTGACTCAGTGTGCAAGGTTTCTGTGCATGACAGATTTTTAGGATGACGAATACGAAAAACACATGCTAACATTTCGGACTCAGTGTGAAAGGACCTGAAGACTCGACTTCACTTGAACTGTACAGAGAACATAGACCATAGGAATGAACGTTAGGTTGCTAACAATAATCTGGCAAAGAAACCAGAAGAAAAGTAAAGTAGTAGAGAGAATCAAGGTAAAGAGAGAACAGGTGTGGAGTCAATCAGCGCGAGGCTGATAGAGAACAGCTAAGTCTAAGTAGCAGTAATGTAGGGAATGAAGAAAGAGCAATGAGACGATCAAACCCAGCTCATGACAATATATACAGTATATATATCCCCATGGAGGTGTTGGATGCTATACCACCATGGCTCCTTCCTCCACTAATGCCACCGTGGGGCACTACCTGGCTGGGCATCTGTGTGCCATCCAGTCTCCGCACACTCAAACCATCTCACTGGGTACTACTCCTCCTGTTCCTCCCTGGCCATTCCTACCATCATCTGCTCCTGGGGTTTTGCTGTCTGCCTGCCTTCTCTTCTCCATCCCTTCACCTACTACTCATCCGACTCCTAAGCTGCTTCCTTCAGACCACAGAGCAAGGCCATGCTTAGCTGATATTAAATGGGTTCATGTCTTCATACATGCACATTTAAAAAATGTTGCTTTTAGCATTTCTTTAGTCTTACATGCAAGAAATCCAAAACACAGAGAAATTTAATTGTATTTATTTATTTATTTTGCTTAGTAGTACAGCTAATGCTTCAAAGTTTCACACACTCAGGCAAAGTCATCACTCCATCATTACATTTTTGTCTTAGGGGTTTATTGCCTCTTAAATATTTGCCCTTCTGACATGCAAATTCAGTGGCATCATTATGTGGTAAGAATATATTTTCCTTTGCCTTCCATTGCAACTCTACACCTCTTTTATCCATTTCTTACACCGTCACTGAACAAGGCTCTGAAATAAACCCAGCATGTCACTGTCAGTGTTACAATATGCATTTGATTCAACAGGAAAAAAAAACAAAAAAAAAAACAATCAAGGTTACATCAAATGTACAAATAAAAATACAGAGAGAAAACCCTAATATGTCATTGATGTATATGGAGTGTAGTGTTCAAACTTACTTAAACAATAAATATTCCCTTTTTATTCACCTTGCACACAGCTCAAGTATTTAGAGAAGGGGGCCAGCAGATCCAACCTGTATTTATGAAAGCAGATGAATTCAACTCTATGTCCTGTATTGTATTCACTTTTTATCATTTCTTTTATATCTGCATTGTTGATGTTTGGTGGTGGTCCACATTTCACTGAGGGCAAAGCAAAGATTTTGTATTTTTATTTATTCATTATTTTTTCATATAGACTGTCGTCAAAAATTGGCATTAATAAATCTCAATATTAAGCAGATGTCTTTTTAATGTTTCTAAACCATAGAACATGTTATTATTATTATATCACATATTGTTAATACAATAATATGAGATCATTTTAATAAAATGTTTAAGAAAAATCATTTTTGTGTGTCAACGTTGCATAGCAAAGTTTAGCATTTACTTTAATATGAACAATGCTGAACAATAGTTCTCTTTTTGATATGTTAATAATATATTCTCTGTGGCCTGTATGATTTTAAGATCCATTTTAAGATTTGCAGCCCTGACTCCAAATGCATTGTGTTTCTTTCTTGAGCATCAGTGAATGTTGTTAACTTTTTTAATTTTTTTTTAACTTTTAACTTTTAAATGGAATTAGAGGCAAAATGTCAATAAACTGTAACATACCAGTGCATTGCCGTATGCCTCTCTATTGGCCATGGGAACTACATGTGATTTGTACAGGCTGCTCTGGATTAAATCCAGGATGACATTTACTGTATATTGTGCTCCTGAATTGATTCTGTAGTTTGATATTTGACTTTCCACAATCTCTGCATTTGGGATTTTTGGTGGGTCACATAATTTCTAAAATCAATAAATAAATAATAAAAAAATAAACATCAGCATAATCATATAATTGATATTATGTGAGTAGAAAGATTGTAATACTACACAGCAGAACATACCAGTACACAGTGGTTTTGGTGCCCATCCGTCTTGTGTACATATGGCCTCTGCTACGGTTTTACAATATCCAGACACACAACTAGTTTTGCTCCCAATTTCAGATTTCCCCAGTATGGTCTAGACACATGCTTGTCATGTGGATCTGCACAGGTAATCTCTGAAACAAGTTTCACATGCTTTTAAGAACATGAAATGAATTCATCACCAAATTCAGAAGTATGTCTCTATACTCTTACCTTCACAAATAGGCTTATATTCCCACTCGCCGTTATCTTTGCATGTAATTGTTGTTTTTGTAAGATAAACCAGTATTTTTCAGAGCAGGTGATCTCCACACTTTCTCCAGCTCTGAAAATATAGTATTTTCCTTCGGATTGATCTTTTTTACTCTCAACTTGGTTGGCTTACGCTCACAAGTTACTTCTGTACAAGACATGAACAGTGTTGGGAGTAACGCATTACAAAAGTAATAATATTACAGTAGTATATTACTTTTTGCTGTAACGCAGTAATATAACGCATTACTAATCAAATTTGGGTAATATTATTACTCGTTACAATCTCAGTAACGCAAGTTACAGTAGTGTAATGCATTACAATTCAGAGACAGTAATATTGTAATGTAACTAATTACTTTCAAAAGACAGTAACTAGTAATATATAATGTATTACATTTTGGAAGTAACTTGCCCAACACTGGACATGAATATATAGAACTAAGGGTAAGAAGAGATGAAGCATCAAAAATGTGCTAAACTCTTATTTTTCTTTTGCAGGTGACAAATAATTGACTTTTTTTTCCTTTGTTTTAAATATCCAAAAAGCAAAAAAAAAAAAAAGAGCAAAAAAAATAAAAAAATAAATAATAATAAAAAAATATATAAGTAAGCGAGTGAGTAAGTACGTAAGTAAATAAATAAATAAATAATAGCTTTTGATGAACAGAGTACATTTTGGTGTCCATATATAGGCCTACTGTATTATTATTATTATTATTATTTTTAAATTGTAAATGAAACAAAAATGATTGTGTGTGTATTTTAAACGAAAATACTATTTCAGTCGTTCTACTTCAGAATGTCATGTTTAATTCGATGTGTTTAAATGGTTGTAAAATGTGTTTAAATGTTTCAGTTCATGTGTGATGCTACCATATGCTATTATGGTGATACCAGATGCTATTATATTACTGAGAGAAATCAAACAACAAAAAAGAAAAAGAGTGACTTTCAATAAATCGTACCCTCACAGACAGGGACAACATTGTTCCATCCTTGAGCTGTGCAGGTATGCTGATTGGTTCTGCTTGTCATTTTATACCTGTTACCACAGTGTTTTTACAAGTACAAAGATTGTGAAACTGATGACAATTGTATACATTACATGCAATAAAAAAAGAGAATAAAAAAGCATAAAGCACGTATAAAGCACATTTACCCTTTCTTGCAAGTATACACCACTGTTGCTCCAAAAACAAACTCTGTTCCCTTTGTAAGTTTAAAATCACCATTTGGTGTGTTGCCTGGGTGACTACATTTTTTCTCTGCAGAAATCAAACAAGTTTTACCCTACATGATAACACTGATTTAATATCCCCCCCCCCCCACACACACAAAAAAATCAATAATTCAAAAATTCAATCAATAATTTATATCACTTTTGCATTTGATAACACTATCGGTTAAGTTTAGGTTTGGGTTCAATGTAGGGGGGTATTTCCAACACGATGCATTATCCTTTGGCAACACTCACTGGACATTTGAATTCTGAACTGCTGCAATAGGTGCCTGAAGCAACACGGCAATACGTGCCTGTAAAAACACTCACTGGGCATTTCAATTTGAAACTGCCACGAAATGTGCAGTAAGGTACATAATATCAGTGTTGCAGAAAATGAGCCTGGGTTGTACATCCCTTTAAGAAGAACTCTAGAGGTATGAACTAGGTGCTGTGACCGAATATGCAACAGTGGAGGTAGATATTAATCTCAAAAGAACAATAACAGATAAATGGGGGTCATCATTAGCTCAATAACAAGAAAAAACAAAAAGCTCTACACACTGTAGACAAATAACTTTCAATATATGTTGCATGCAGCAAATACCAGAATGACTTTTAGTAGCCTACTACCTGAGATATTTGTGCTGCATGCAAAAAAATTCCCATAATCCCCAAAGGCATTTTTTTTTGTTTCATTTTCCCATGAAAATGTATAGGTGTGTCCTTTTCAGCAGCTGATAGACAGAAAGAACATCTTTAATTAAGATCAAGTTTTTGGCAATGTTAAATTATGATTCATTCTAAAGAAACGTGACAGCTATTCATGTGTGCAATTAAGCTGTCATTAGTGCTGAAAAAAACCATAGTAGTGTATACTGTTTTATTGACAACACACAATTGAAATGGTAGAAAGTATGTTGAAAGTACTGGAAAGTACATCAGATAAAATAGGATTGAAAAGAACACATGCTAAGCTAAGTTTGTGATTTCATTATGTTCGCCTTATTTGTTATACTGTAGACACACTTAAATTAAAAAGCATTAAAATGTAATTTTAACATACCTGATCTAGCATAACACATGATATAGTGTCAACTTCATTTCACATGTAATAAAATAGTGGTGGAAAGTTTGATTTATATCAGTTAACTCAAGTCTTTTGAATCCGTTCACTAAAAAGATTTGTTCACTGAATCGTTCATTGATCATATTACACATACACAAAAAAAATGCATGAAGTCTTAATTATTCTTGACTAAAATGTGCATGTATACAAATCACAAATGACGACACAGCAGATCTCCGTAATGTAAATGTAAAACTTTTATCAACCTACAAAACAGACAACACTTGTCTAAAAAGAAGTTTCAGTAACATCTTTGTGTCATTGTAATGTCACCAGTCACATTTAGACATTAATTTGTCCATTCTGTCAAGGGGTGGACTTATTGATTTGGGGAGCTTATTTATCCCTTCACAAGCTATCTATGGAATAGTGCACATTTGGTTATTAGTCAACCTGATGTTGTTCTATACCTTTTTTTATTTTTTATTTTTTTTGCCTCATTCTGTATTTCAGAGTTTGGCCAGACACAATATGGAAATACAATCCCCTCCTTTATAATCCCGTAAAAAGCTATCACTCACTTCATTGTTCATTTAAATCTCACAAAGTTCCATTACAATCAATAAAGCTGTATATACTGCACAATGAATCTCTTATTTATATTTTGTTTACGTTTTGTTTGTTATAATGAGAGGATTAGCGAGGCCTGGTGAGTGTATTCGGACTACCTTAAACACCTCTGATTGGCCATTGCGCTCAAGAAATAAACATTTATGTCTGTGATTGGCTACATTGTTCAACGCTGCAAAAACTCATTGTAATTAGAAACCTTTGATGCTCTTCAGAGCACAAACACTGGAGTTTGCCATATCTGTTTCCCTGGGGCCCTGTGCACCCACTTACCTAAATCCACCCCTGATTCTTTTGTTTTTGTGAACGGAAAGTCTCACATGCTGAATTGAGCAAACAGTTGAATTGAGCAATCAGGATAGTGTTTTGACGAATTTCAAAATGAGTAAAAAAGAGAGAGAGACTGATAGTGGCAGAACAATGTTAAATTTACAGTCGATCATGCAGCCGCTTTATTACACATATCCTCACAGCTGTGTTAATTAGTATCATGTAATGCAATGGTAATACAAAGTGTAGTGTTATAAATGTAAATACTTAAAAAAAATGAAAATATGAAAAAAAAAAAAAAAAATTACAATGATGATGACCACTGAAACGTGTCATCACAATCTGTGAAGAGTGTAATGACTTAAAATAGTCTTTAAAGCTTGAAAGCTATACAAAATGGTGTACAAATTAAAAATTGCATGACATGACTTTGTCATTAAACTTTTATTTATGGAAATAATCAAGAGATCACATTAGATCACAGTAACCAAATTGTATAAATATGGTCTGAAATATATTTAAAACAATTGCTACTCTGTTAAGGAGAAACGAATATGCACTGACCATTACTGTCCACAAGAGGGAGGTCTTAAACTGCACAAACATTTCTGTGCTGGTTATTGGTTAATGGAACGGTGGTGTATTTACGCCACAATCTATCTATCTATCTATCTATCTATCTATCTATCTAATCTAAAGTTTATGGTTTAGGTAAATTACTGTCATCAAGCAGATTTCATGAGTCGTGTTTTAGGAGATGATTTAATTGACAACTTGAAATATTTGGTCTTGACAATCTAAAATTTATGGTTTAGGTAAATTACTGTCATCAAGCAGATTTCATGAGTCGTGTTTTAGGAGATGATTTAATTGACAACTTGAAATATTTGGTCTTGACAAAGATAAGGACAACAAAAAAAAGAGAGAGAAATGACACAGGAAAACACATCTATGGCTTCAGATGAAACTATAACTGTTAGAAAAAGTTGCAATATAACAACATAATAGATAATGATAGTTTAATGATTTTTAATTGTTTAATTGCCTATACACAATATAGTTTGGAAGTCCTGCAAAAGCAGACATATCATAAGTTTAAAATGTCTGAAGTTTCTAAAGTTCAAATTGCCTGTAGCTAGGTTTGCTGAATCTAACATGAAAGTGTCAAGTGCCCGTGATTAAAAGTAGACTTTGGTTTATGTGAGGTGTCAAGAAAAATCCATACTTGAATTTTTGAACTCAGACCCGTTTCATCAAACAAGCACACATATATCATTTCAAGCCATTTTAAGTAATTGTCATTTAGCTCACGCTTAACCTTTCTGCTGCAACTACAGGTAAATTAACCTATTCATTTAGTAATATGACTAATAATATGCAATACTTTCATGTATAAATAAATAATAATTCAATCACACTCCCTTATTCAGTAAAATGGGATTTTCCAACCAAACTTTACTTATTTGTTTATTGTATAAAATGTGATATTACAATCAAGTCTTTCTCAGCATAGACATTTTGATGACCCTAGCATGGATTGGGCACATACTGTATATATTTATTTTACCACAGATTTGTAATGCTCTGTCAGTTATAAAGGAAAGTGTACACAATTTAACAATTGGCCACAGTCTCCCTACAGACTCATCTTTAGACAGCAAGAGCTGAGGAAGAGAATGTCATGAATATAAATTAGAAGACATAGGGGACTAAAAGCTACCCTAGACTAAGATCAAAGATTTGTCAAGCTGTAGTTCACTTAATTCGTAATATATGTAACGTCCATAAATAAATGGATGGACCTTAAGGCAGTAGCCTACCTAGTTACTCTTTTATTCATTCCATCTGAAATCACTCAATAGCATGAGTAATACAAAATTTCCGATGTCATTCATGGTAAGAATGCAGTTCATATTCAGATCAAATGATTAAGCATACTTGCATTTGCAGCATATTTCAAGACATTTACTGTCATAGTAAACATCTTGTACAGAAATGCCACACCTGAAAGCATTGCTAACATGCCTGTGGAAATACTCTACAAACATTCGCTTTCATTGTGAATAATTCAGTCACACACAACACAACTGTCATGACAAAATTAATATTTATCAGTAACTGCATACATGCACAGGTGATTCATTTATTCATGTTAAGCATGAAAGATGGTAGCAGTGGCAATGGAAAATGACAGTAAGTGGTTTAACCCAACTGCTGTATAAAGTTTGCATGGTAATTTTCTATTCAAACAAGTCTCTATTGGCCATTCCTGAGAAAGGATGTACGATACTGTGCTTAAGGAAACTTTCAACAGTATGCAGTATGCAGTAAACACAACATCTAACATTATTCTTATTATTTTGTCACTCTCTGTCTCAGGCATTATTGGCTATTGCTTATTCGAAAGAAATTTAAAGAGACAATTGCTTACAAAATAAAAATATATGGAAATATACTCGAAAATACAATGCAATATATTACAAAATGCATTCCTATATACAAGAAACTAGTGTTTATATACATAACTAGTATATATGAATACATATATTGTCACATTAAATATATGAAAATAAGCAATTACTTATATATTATTGTTCCAAAATATTGTTCCATATATTTTCAATATTAAATCATTGAATATACTTATTGTTCATATATATTTCCATAATGTATTTTTTGTCTTTCCATACAAATTCTAAGATCTACTCCTTGGCAATGCTGTCTCTATTTCTAATCTAATCACCCCAGATAAATGGACTATACTGAACATTTGACAGGTGTCTAAATTGTTTAAAAATACCAACATTTTGAAATCTGACATCTGCCCCACAACCTTTTTTTTTTTTTTTTTGACAAATACATCTAGATAAATCAGCTGAAAACAGATATTCCAAATGTTATGCCATAAAAGAAAACAAGGAAGAAAACAGAAAGGAACCGCTATGGTTATTAGTAGAGTACATGCTGTTCAGAAGCACATCAGCAAACAGTGAGACCCAACTTGGTATGATTTGATCAAACACAAGCAAGAGAAGTCAGCTATGGATTTGCACAGTGCAATCTCAAGGTTTTGTCTATCCGTTTTGATATTAAATAAACAAAAGGAACACAAAAATATCTTTATTAAATTAAAATGACATTGGATCAGACATGCAGCACTGCTAGTGGATATTGCATGCTCCTGGTTGTTGCTGTGGAAGTGGGAATACTTTGCTCATGAAACATTTGTAAGGAACATTAATTAAACATGATCTTTGTCTCTTATGGATAGAGTTTGAAGAGCATTCTGATTCAGATCTGAGCTACAAAACCGGACAGAGTTAGAATGGTTCTTAGACAATCCTGTTGTAAAGATCAGCTTAGATTAGCATGAATTTACTTATGCTGGTTTATGCTTGTTTAGTATTGGTCTAGTTGGCTAACTGGTCATTAGTCAAGTAGATTAGTCAGTTTTTAGTTTTAGATTTGTAATTTTTTAAAATGGCAGAGCTGCTTGTCAGAGAGTTTTATTTTATTTATTTATTTTTAGCAAGCTGACAGCATGCTGTGCTTTAGCAGGTTAACACTAACAATGACTGTTAGACTGTCAGCATGCTCTCAGAGAAGCTGCATCTATATTCATCCCCTTCAAAGCACCATTGCTAAAGCCATCAAAGCACCACTTTTGTAGCAAATCAGTCATCTATAATAACAAATTTGGAGGAAATTGCTGTCAGGCCCCAAATATTTTTAATTGTTGGTCTACAGTATGTACACATTCAGACATATGTCTTCAGCTGTTTGTATTTTTCATAATCTTGGGCCATGAGTGTTGCATGTTTAAGACAACATATGAAGTAAAAAATTGTGCATTTTTTAAAAATGCATCTCAACACTTGCTTGTTTCTGTTTTTGAACAGAAGAAGGTGTCCTGTGTGAATAGCCCTATAGTGATAAACAGGAAAATAATGACTCAGCTTGTGAAGTGATTCTGCTGTAAAGCTCTAAAAAGACAATAGTAAACAGTCATTATCAATCATAATCAGTTCCCTGTTGATTCAGTTTGTTTCAGTAACTGTAAAGTTAATCAATTATGGAATGACTTAATTCATCTACAAAGCAGCTCTGAAGAAAACAGTGATGTCATCATCCAGCTC